CTTGCCACGGTCTCCAACCCTCCTCCTTTCTCATCCGGGCTTGGGACCGGCCATGGCGGAGTTTCATGAGTAGACTCGACAAAATAGAAAGCAAGACAGTTACAGATACCCTTGATTGTGAGCCGCTCATTTTGCATTTCGAGAGGTCACAATTGTGAAGGTGCGAGTAAATGGGCAGGATGCAACTGGAAAGATCCGTAAGCCGTATTCTGATCACCTGCGAACTTCGGATCATGTCGCTCAGGCATATTGAACAGCCGTTATTGTTCCGTAAAATCCAGGTCTTAAAAATATCGAAATTATCATAGCAGCGTGGCCGTTAGCCAAGCTGCCTAAAGCAACTACAATCACATGCCCAAAAAATGAAGATATCCAAATAACATGGCAAACCTTAAGATCCGAACCTCTCTGCAATTCTTTGCAGACTTCAAGAAACAACCGAATTCTCTAGATCGTTTAAAATTTACATATATAATTTACTTGCTTCATCTGCCACTGAAATTTTGTATGGTCCGTTTCAGAGGTTAAGGTTCAAAAACGTGGCAAGTTAAACGCCCTTTACCTGCTAGCTCGAAAGGGCTTTTACTGATGGTCAGATAGACGCATTAACTCGCTCGATGAGCAAATCAGTAGAAGAGAAAAGAAAATGGACCAGCTTTAATTATATTGAAACATCATTATTGACCATGAGCCGCGACCCGAAAGGAGAAGCGGCGATGGAAGATTATTGACCGTAACTTCTCCATGCGGACAAAAACGAACTCTTTGATTCAACAATCCTACTGGTGACGATCTACGGCGCTACTAGATCAGAAGAAAACAAACTGATAACGTCGCGCAAAAGGCAGTGGAGCGAAAAATATGCAAGGTGTCCGTCAAGGATCAGGTTGTGAGTACACAAGTTCGACAGCGACTGGGTAAACAAGTAATTTCTGCATTCTGCGATGCCAAGAGACGATGGACGGGTCATGTGACTCACATGAAAACCCCTGATTGGATGCAAAGAATTACAAACTGGGTTCTGCTGGACCACCAACGTTGTGTCGATCGTCCAACAAAACGCTTGAATAACTCAAGGATTACTTCGTTAGCGGTGGACAGAGAACGCGAAGAACAGAGAAAATACTGAAACTTGCATTCACGTCGAACCCATAACAAGCACAAGTCTCATAAGCGTTATGGAGTCTGTTCCTAATTGCAGCTATGTGTTGCATTTCTAATTTACTCATTTTTTTGACCACTTATCCTTTCGGGTGGCGGAGGCAGATATGATAGACAGTGCTTTCAACGTTCCCGATCCTCATCTGAGCTTTGGCAGAAGGCAGCAGCCAGAGTCTAGAGCAGACTCCTTTAATACAGTTGCTCCAGGCTAATCTTGGCCGCATCCTGGGACTTCTGCTCGTCAACTGGGCAAGTAGTATTTGCTTCAGTTTCCTTTCTGGAGACATTTGCAACACATGCCCAAACCATCGCGGACGTTTGTATTCCGGATAATGTAGAGACGAGTAAGGCCAGTGACTGGTCTCAGAAACACCATTTCAGCCGCTTGCATCCAGGACCGAAATTTTTCAGTCGATTCATGACAGTACATGAGCACGGGGATGAAAATCGACTTGAACATCGAGAGCTTAATTTTCATACCCAGCTCTGCTTTAGTCACAATGCTTGGGGCTAGTTCACGCAGAACGCCCTGGCTACTCCAGTTCTGCGGTCAAACTCTCCTCCAATTTACCATCAGTAATAAGTGCAATTTCGAGGTACTTGAACTTCTCCACCTGCTCCACTGTCTCTCCATTAATTTGAAGAGAGCAACGAGCAGGAGAACGAGAAAGTACTAGGCTTCGTTTTAGATGCGCTCACACGCATGTCCTTCACGTTGCACTCGGCTGGCGAGCTTTTCTAGAGAGCACTGAAAATCATTTTCAGAAGATGAACGCTATTGTCAACGTTGAAAGGCTTAAACTTAACGCCATTAACGGAGGATGTCCTTTTCCTTGCTAAGAGGATGTCCAGACCTGTCCATCAAGACTCTTAGACTGGTCTTCTTTTTACTAAGCAGTCGGCGGATGGTCTACCGGAATACCTTATTGACCGTTCGAAAATTCAACTGCAACACCTTACTAAATTCAGCAATAACACATTACTGGATTTGTCCCAAGGAATCAGCTTTGGCTTTCACCACTGCCTTCGCCTATTTTCGTTTATTCGTGTGTTTTATTAGTTAAATATGGCTGTTCGAAAACAATTCTATGTATTTTTTAACATTATAGCTTATTTAAAATAAAGAGTTAACATGGCATGACAAATAAAGTTCAATGTCGTTTAGATATCTGCACGCGGTACTGAAGAAGAATGCGATCGTCACCGAGTACAACCGCATATTGTTGGTTGAGGCGCTGCGGGCGACATCGGAAATACTAATATGGGGAGATCAGAACGATCCATCGGTTTTCGAGTATGCATTGACATCCAGCTGCATATCTCATTAAGTGCCACCGTATAATTGCTTCTGATTTTTCAGGTTCTTTCTTGAAAAAGGCATGCTCGCTCATTTCCTGTATCTCATGCGTCAGAACTGCGGCCGGTTCATCTGCATCCAGCTGCTTCAAACGCTGAACATCCTTTTCGAAAACATCAGAAGTGAAGTGGCTCTGTGTAAGTATCTCTAAAAGTCATGGTTCTTTTGAACTAAGTTTTCATCAGTCTGATAGGAGTCACGTTTTCACTGCCTGTTTTGTTGTTTCGTATTTGTTCATTTGTCGTATTCAGGCTTTCGAAATTTATCATCTGCATTTGGGTTTGATTTCAGACGTTAATGGCGTGTCAAGAATGACTGTTCAGGCAGTAAAGTAATCAGTTATCAGAAGATAATCGTGTATGCTTTTTCTTATACGACCTTTTCATTATATTTCTGATCGTTACCCTGGCGTTGCTTGTTTGAGTTAGCACTGATGCGAGGGTGACTTTTTGGTTCCTGTGGTATGCCTAGTAAATCGTTAATCTCAGCAGGATCATTATCGTCTTCATGTTCATCTTTTCCATTTCCTTCTTCTTTTTTCCCTCTATTGTTCCTCGTCTTGCTCTTCATTTTCTTCTTTCCCTTATTGTTTTTCTTCCTTTTATCTAAGCAGCCTTAATTTATCAAGTAAAATATCTACATATTTTAATTCATGGTACTTTAATATACTTCTCTTGTACTACTTTTTCCATGAGTACTGCAGTAAATTGTTTTGCATAAGTAACTTAAAAGAGAAACCATCGGAATTCAGTTCAGAATTGATAAATTGGATTGACGCTTTAGTAAATGATTTGTAAAGATTACTCTGTGTTGGGATAGATATGAAGAGCTATCACATCTGTCAAGAGTACTGGGGGCATGATAGGTAGTTTCTAGGTACATGCATGTACAACCGTCACTGCAACTCCGGGAAATCCATTCCACCCATATAAGGTATCGCCTTCGATTTTCTACTCTGTTTATGGCAGTTTTCAAAAAAACGCTACCGACCATACATTTTATCTTTAAAAGCAGGATAGTGAAGCGTGCTGCCTATTGTTTTGACCACGAATGACTTCTGAATTGCTTTAAATAAGAATGACTACATTAGAAATGCTTTTTGACTATGTACGCCTCAATAAAAATGATAATTTAATCACTTCATTTCGAAATCTAATTAACGGATTATGCGACATTGACTCTCTTAGTCAAACTCACTGAAATGTACCGGAAGTAAATTTATCGATAGCGGCTAAGGTAGAATGTTGATCATTAGACACAGCTAGTGAATGCCAAAGTTTACACCTTAATTATTATTGACAGACTTGCTAATTATTTCTTTCTGCTGTGAATATGTTTACTTTCAGATTACTTGTTGTCGAACAATCACGTGAATTGCATAATCAATCACCGTTTTGATTTTTCTGACGAAGAGGTTAGCAACAGCTGCATGGGTCGAATACAAGACCGAAAAGTGGTTAATGATTGCATTTTTTAGATTCTTGCTTACTACATTTCATTCTTGAAAACGCTCTCCATTAAGCTTAATGGAAAGACAATTAACTTTTTCTTCAATGAAGTAAGTATTCAGTACATGCTGTGTTTTTTATGTATTTTGTTGCTTTTAGAGCACTAACGAATTTCCTCTCTACTCAGAAGCTATTAAGTTTTTCAACCATAGCGAACGAATGATTCGGATAGCTGTTAGAACGTTAACCCTGAACGTGTTTCGAGGTTTTTAGTGCATGTGCTTGATTTCTATAGATTTTATTTTTGTAATATTGTCATTTTTGCAGTGAATGACCCAGTTATGCTTCAGTTCATTCAGAATAAAAACGTAGTACCGTATTTTTCAAATCTCGTATCGTTCATTGGCCGAAACTTGTGTGATATAAACAACGAAATAGTTTCTACACAGTAAGCTTAAATTTTAAAGTAGTTATTTTGCTTCATTAATGTTATTGATTCAGCATGAAGCTAGAGAAACTACTTGACTCGATAGCTGAACATCTGGATCATTTCCATTACTTGAACGACATACTCAGCCTGAACATGGCCTCCATCAACGAAATGCTTTGCGACAGGCTATTTTCTGATCTGTTCTTGCCGCTATATATAGCTTCGCTCAGAAGAGATCCGGAGGTAAAGCATTTGCTAGATTTCTGTTTGTTGTTCTTAACTGCCTCGTGTTCATACCGAATTGATTCACTCATTGTGGTGGATGGTTATTTGTTTTACTCTCTTTGGAGATCAATGCGAGCAAGGGGCCATCCTTTAAAGAGTGCGCAGCGACGGACTTGCATTCGAGAATGTATTTTTAATCTTTGAAATAAATTGATGTACTTATGCTAAGCTGTATCAGCATGTGCATTATCATTATACATATCTGTATCTTACCTAATGTGGTTAATTAGTATCGGTATTATACTCATTATTAATGCAGTTGGTGGCCATGTGTAGATCATTGACACAGAGTAGTTGCGTTCAAAATTCCATTATTCTGATTGACTTAGATAAGGAGACGGGTGCTTTTACTGAAACCACAAATTGAGGAACTGTAGGATACTGATCCCTTCTTGCAATGGGCATGACACGTAGCCAGAGACCCCACTTTCGCTGGACCAGTGAGTCATTATATTTGGTTCCAGGAGAGAGTAAACAGCCCATAAGAAGATCTTAAAATAAATGGCATGGTGAGTGAAGAAGTTTATTGCATCTAGATGGATATAAATTGCAAAAAATGAAAATTTATGGCAATATTTTGGATAATCCTTCATGCAGCAGTGTATTAAAAAAAGGCTGACATCATGATAATGGTAACGGTACATTTTCCTTCTCATAAACAAGTATGATAAACTGTATTTCGTGTATGTTTGTTTATAATCATATTTTATGAATGTTTGACTTCGCATTTTGATTTTCTATTCTGTTAAAAAAGCCATTGTTTCTAGAATACCGATGGTCTTCCATTGCTTCCTTCCGTGGCGCTCTTCTTTTGTTCTCAGGCAGGTTTATTCCTAGGCGTGTTTGTCCGGTGTCAGAGAAATTTATTACGTTCAGGTTTTCATGACTATAACATATGTGCCCTTAGTCGAAAAGCTAGCAAATCTGTTGTTGTGGAATAAAGACGAAGAGTTTGAAAAGTCAGAAGTAATGCCTAATATTTAAATTAATTTTGACATTGTTATTCTGAATATCATTGTTAAGGTTCAGGACAAAGGTAAACCCGACGAGAAGTCAAAGCGAAGCGACTTAGAATTTAGTATGTATACTTTTTTAAATTTTATTGGCTGCTACTCCCTAAACTCTTAGCTTCTGTCTAGTAAATGACTTCTGGCTGTGAACACTTTGTATAATGCTTAAAGAATGTTATCACAGGAACAATCCTATTGTTACTCTCTGTTCTGAAGGATGAGTGCACGCGTTTGTAAGCTTGAGTAACGTTAATAGGTCGTTTTCACGGATTTAGATAAGTAAGTGGCAAAAGGGTGTTATTGTTTTCTCTGTTTTCTTGTATTAGCCATCAAATGTTTTCCCGATCTTTCGTTTATTTGCTAATTAATAATCGTCGTCCATTTGATATGTTGACAAAAGTTGGATATGACCCCTGAAGTCCTGATTTTGTGATCAGACTGTTATTCTCCTCATCAGGTTCGTCTTAAAGACTAAGCAGGACTGTATATCTCTGACACCAGTGTCTCATTACGTAATGGTTTCAGCATGTCACATTTCTTCAAATCTGAATTAAGAGCAATTGTGCGTCTCATTAGGATGCGCATCTAACTAGGATGCGACCCGTTACTTCATTGTTTTCCGTTTTCTGCTATATGGGCATACTGGTAGTTCTGTAGCAAGAATAATTGACAATCATTAGGTTCTTAAACTCGTAAACGAGCCATTTATGTACGGTTAGTGTTATTACCTTGCTGATGACACCTCTACTTCTTCAAAGCTTCATGCTTAATAAGCGTTTTATTTTTTGACCTATGTTTATTATGGTATTATTTAACAGTCATTAATTAAACCACTTTCACATTCGTAGATTTAACGCTGTAAAACAGTCTGGTCAAAAATATCTTTCCTGCGTTTCACCTGCTGCTAAGGAATGAATGCTTTA